AATAGTATATATATATATATATATATATATATATATATATATATATATATATATATATATTATATATATATATATATATTTATTAAATTTTTTTTATTTTATTTTAAGAAAACAGAAGAATATATAAATAAATTAAATGAAAAAATATAATAATAATATAATTATTTTTTGTTTTGTTTATAAATAACGTATATATATAAATATTACTATATAAAAAGTATTGAAAGAGTAAATTAATAATTAGAAGACGATTTCTAAAATTATTAAAAGTTACTTTAAAACAAAGATTAAGAAATAAAAGATTTAAATTATAATTTTAAAAATAAAATATATTAATTAGAGAAAGAAAACAATTTAAAATAAAACGAAGTCTAAGATTAATATTTAATGTTTTTATTTTTAAAATATTTATTAAATTTATATTTATAAATATAATTATTTTAGAAAAGAATAGTAATAATCCCATATAGAAAATTTATAAAAATATAACGAATAATTAAATGATAAAATAAATAATAAAAAACTAAAAGTATATTAATTTAAAAATAAGTAAAGAAATAAATAATAAAAAAAAAAAGATTAATTAAAAAAATAAAAGAATAACTAAAATCAATTAATTAAATTTTGAAAATATTAATTATATAGAAATTGATAATATAAATTAAATAAATAAATAAGAACAAAATTTAAATAATTGCTAATAAACAAAAACTTTTTAAATAATAAAAATAAAATCTTAATAGAAAAAGTAAATTTTATATTTTTTTAACAGAATATATAATACATATTATATATTATATTATTATATATACAAATATATATATATTTTATTTTTTAAATAAAAAAAGTTCGAATGATTCTTTTTTAAAAAGTATATATAAATTTAATATTTTTTTATATTTTTTTTCATTAAATATCTTTTATATATAAAAGCTTATATTTTTGATAATTAATTAGATTATTCTAATTTAAAAATAAGGTATATTTTAATTTTATTTTTTAAATATAAATATATTAAAAGTTATAATGATTTAAATTCAGAAAATAATAAAATATAAATATATTTTTAAAGGTTTAATTGAAAAATCTTAAATATAAGAGAATAATATTTCATAATTTAAAAATAATTTTAATTTTAAGCAAGAATAAATTTACAAACTTTAAGAAATTTATGAAATAAATTAATCTATTTTTAATAAAATAATTAATTACAATAGAATTTATAGTTTATGTGACTTTTAATTTAAAAATGAAAAATAGTAAATTGAATTAGATATAAACGAATAAAATATAAATAAACTATAAAAATAAATATAATAATTATAATAATAAATAGATCATTTACAAAGTTAAAATGATTATTTAGTTTAAAAGTAGATATAAAATTAAATTAAAAAATATATAATAATAATTATTTATTAAATATATATATAGTTTAAACTAAGAAATAAATCTAAAAGATACTACAGAAAAACAATAAAATGATTATATTGAAGATTTAAAAATTAAACAAATATAAGAAACAGAAAAATTAATTAATGAAATAAATGAAAAATATAATTTTATTTGTTAATTATAAGATGAGTAATTGTATATGATTTTTATTAAAAAATAAAAATATATAAATAGAATTAAAATTAATAATTTTAGAAATGATTTAAAATTGAAAGATTTACATAATTAAAATGATGATTTAAAAAACAAATAGAAAATTTAAATTAATAATTATAAGAAAATCAAAATTCAAAAAACGAGGAAATCAATTCTTAATATAATAATTTAGATAAAGATTTAAAATAAACTATTTAAAATTTTGATGATTTTAAAATTGAAAATGAAAAAAAAATGAAACTAATAAATTAAAATAAATTAGAAGAAATAGAATAAATAAAAAATAAGTATATATATATTTGTATATATATATAAATTTATATATTTAAAAAAATATAGCCTAAATGATAATATTAAATAAAAGGATATATATATAAAAGATTTATAAATATAAATAGAAATTTCAAATAAATATCTTGAAGAAATATAGACTTAATAATAAAATTAACAAAATTAAAATAATGAATTAATAGAAAAACTTAAATAAAAGTATTTTTTTTAATTAAAAAGTACTAATTCTATAATTATTTTAGTTTAAAAGATATATTAAATTAAAAAGATAAAAATATAAGAGAATTATAAAACCTAAATGAAGACAATTAATAATAATTTTAAAATTAAAATTAATTATTATAATTAGATATAAACTAAAAAGATAACGAAATAAAATCATTGAAAAAGAGTAAAAATAAATAAATTAAAATTAAACTCTTTTTTAATAAAACCAAATATATTAAAAGATTAAAAGAATTAAATAATTAAAAAGATCTCAAAACTAAATAACTTTAATGTTTATAAGAATAATATTAAATATAATTTGAATAAGAAACTAGTATTTTAATTAAACAAATTTAAGACAAAGATGAAAATATAAAACAATTAATTAAAAGGTATAATAAAATAAACCATATAAATATTTTTTTATTAAAAAATAGTTTGAATAATTCAAATAAATTAAAAGAATAAATAAATATAGAATTAGAGGATTCCAAATAATAATTTTTATAAATTTTAGATGAATTAAATTAAAATAAATAAATAAATAATTTAAAAGATTAAGAAATTATATAATTTAAAAAATCGTATTTTTTTTTTTTTTAAAAAAAAATTATATGAAATAATTAAAATAGATTAAATGAAATAAATAGATAGATTAATTATAATAATAATGAATTAAAAAATTAAATGGAATAAATAAATATTTTAGAAAATTAAAATGAATAATTAAAATAAAACTTATCTGAAAAAGATAATTAAATATAGAATATGAGAAAAAAGTATTTATAAAAAAAAGTAAAAAGTATTTGTGTTATTTCGTTTTTTTTTTTTTTTTTAAAAAAAAGTATTAATGATTTAAATAGAAATAAAGATTTAAATATAAGTGATATTAATAGTTTAAATGAATAAATTAATTTACTTAATAAAGAAATTATAGTTTATTAAACAACTCTTTAATAAAAAGAAGTTGATATTAATTAAATGAAAAGAATGTAAAAAAAATATTATTTCATTTAAATATATTCTTAATATAAGACTAAATGATATAAATAATTAAATGGAATAAAAAACAATAGAATTATAATTTATTTCAGATTAAAGTAATAAATAATTTGAAAGTGAATGTCGAAAATTAAAATAACATATATAATCAAAGGATAATGAAATAAACTTTTTAAAAAAGAAGTATATTAACTTTTTAGATATTTATTTATAAATAAATACATTAAAAATAGAATATAATAATTAAATCATTAAAAAAATTTATCAACTAATTAACTTGAGAAATTTTATAAAGAGAAAATTAGCTAATTAGAACAAGATATTAAAAATTTAAAATCATAATTAGTCCAAAAAGATAATCAAATAAATTAATTAAAAAACAAGTAAATAAAAAAAATTATATATATATATCATATAAATAAATATATATTTAATTATTTATATATATCTATATTTTATAGTTTAAATAATCAATTTGATTAATATAATTTAAAATTTTAAGAAATATAAAATGACAATTAAGAATTAAAAAATAATTAGAGATTGAATATTTAATAAATAAACAATTATAATTAAATTAATAAAATGAAATAAATTAATTAAAAAATAGGTAAAAAATTTATATATTTAAATATTTATTATATGAATATAAAAAATACATATAGTTTAAATTCAAATATATTAATTAATAAATAAATGTAAAATTAATAATATGAAAAAATAGAAGAATTAGTTAAGGAAATATAATAATAAAAAAATTCAATAAATCAAAAAATAAATGAAAATGAAAAAAATAAACTAAAAATTTAAAATTTAGAAGATTAAATATATGAAATGTAAAATTTAGATAAAGAAAATTAAACAAAAGATAAAAAAATTACAGAATTAAAAATTTTACTTTAAAAATAAAATAAACTTATAGATGATTTAAATTAATTAAAATCAATTTTATTAGAAAAAGAAAATCTAATTCAAAATTAATATACAGAAAATAATAATCTTTAAACTTAAATAAGATGTCTGTAATTAAAACAGAAATAAGAAAATGAAAATTTGAAAGAAAAAATAAAAGAAATAACCGAATTAAATGAAAAATATAGTCAATTAGAGTAAAAAAACTCCAACCTTGAACAATAGAATTAAGAAAAAGAAGAAAGAATATAAAAATTATATACAGAAAATATAAAATAACTAAAATAAACTTAAGAAATATAAAATAAACTTGAAAGTAAATATAAAAAATATAAAGCAAAAAAATTATTAAAAAAAAAAAAAAAAAAAGATGTAAATGAAGTTAATAAATAAATAGAAATAAGTTATATAAATAATTTAAAAAACTCAGAAAATAAAATTTCTTAATAAATTCAAGAAATATAAAATTTATAAGAAAAAAACGAAAATCTTATAAAAATAACTAAAAATTTACAAGAAAATATAGAAAATTCACAAAAAGAAAACGAAAAAAAGTCAAAATAAATTCAAATAAAAATAAAAGAACTTTAAGAAAAAATCTATATTCAAGAAGATTTATTATAATAAAATAATAATAAAGAAATTTTATTATAAGAAAAACAAAATTTAATTGAAAAAATAGAATAATTAAATGAAGAAAATAATAATTTAGAAAAAGATAATTTATAAAAAAATCGACTTTTATAATAATAAGAATAGTAAATCGAAGCTATTGTTAATAATATGGATAAATTAAAAAGTTTATTATAAATTAAAGACGATTAAATTTCATAAATATAGCTTAATGTCTAATAATAATAATAAGAAATAAAAAATTTAAAAGAATAAAATTATATGATTAAAAATTAAGAAATAAGGAAATTGAATGCTATAATATAGGAATAAAATCATGAAAATAATGAATTAAAATTAAGTATTGTAAATGAAAATGATTAAAAATTAAAAATAACAGATTTACTTATGCTCTGTTTTAATCTTTTTATTGAAATATAAGCATTGAGAAATAATATAAAAAAATAAAAAAAGAATTAGAAGAAAAAAGAAAATCTTCAATATAAAAATATAAATAAATTATAAATTGAATAATATATAAAAAAAAAAAAAAAA